TTTTATTTATTTATTTATTTATTTATTTGATAGATCCTACGATTAACACTATTTTTTCTTAGAGGGTGCGACTTAACGCAAGTTTACGCTGATAACACAAATGATTGGCATGTAACTAAATAAAACTATTTTATACCATTCTTTAATTGAAGTATGTCATTTTTAACCAATTAAATTCTGGAAGCATATGGAATAATGTAAATTTCGATCGGAGCTGCCATTTAATTTGTTTATATTTTTATACATCGTACTGTACAATATCCACTGATTTTTCTTGATTAAGTAGCACATTATTAAAAAAAGCCTCGTTCAGCATTGATTATAGGCACTGATAACCGACAGAGGACGACTTCGTACAACTTTGGGAAACAAATTTTACTGGGTTTCCAGACTTCTTGTAATATTTAGGGCAATTCAAAGTTCAATTTTTCTACTTAAAATTTTGAGATAGAACTACTTTACAGTGAATTTGTGCAGCAAATAACATAAAAACTATTTAAATATAAAAACAAGCTACCGAGTACAATATAAATTTTAAAAAAATGAGAAAAATCTGAAATTCGCTAAAAGTTTGATATTTGTGAAACCTTAGGAAAATCTAAAATTCGCGTACAAATCGTGGAAATTCACAACGCAATAAAGTCACCGTCTTAATAATAACTTATAAGAGCTTAATAAGAAATAAATTTTATGAGAACATTTAGATTCTGTGAATATAAAATTTTAACGTTTTTCATAATCCACATACATAAAAATTCAAATCAGAAGAAAAAGCTATATTTTATATCTTCAGAGCCGTTCTTTTGAGGAACTTTGTAATTGGAGAAATATATGTACTTATCAATATTTAAAACACTTACATGTAATTTTCATTTTTTATTATACTGTATTATTATAAACTCCGTTCACAAAACTAAACTCTTATAACAAGAAATGTAACTGCTAATTTCATGCATTTATCTTCTTTATATTATGTACTTTGCAAATTTGTTATTGGTATTGCTGTCTTTGAAGCTGTTTGATTTATAAGCGTTCACTTTACGCTTTTTATAAGCGTTCATTTACCTATTATTCATTTAAGAACAAAAAATAGATCCAAAATAGATAGTTAAATTGCTCTTAATTTACAAACAGATAATTCAATTCGTAATTTCGAATATTTGACGTTAATATAAGCTACACAACGTGACTTGTTTTTAATAACTACTACAGTCAAAAGTCGTTAATTCGGAATGATCTATAATCCGGACCTCAAAACTAAAAACTTTCTGCGCATGCGCCGCGTTGACACATGCGCATAGGCGTTTACGCGTGCGCGTAAGACCTTTTACGACTGCGCATATGAGTGTGCGCAAGTGCAGAATACGTTTTCGCGTGCGCGTTTTATGTATAATGGACGTATAAGCTAAAATTATCTGATTATCTATTTCAGTTAATGTTGATGATTTGCGTTGTTCCTTAATTTTCGAATTGGATCCGGCTTATTTTTTTGCAGACTGTAAGAGCAATTTTATAAAAGTAAGCTTAAACTTTCGATTATATCAAATAGAATTTCCGATATATATTTGTTAATATGTAAAGGATCTAAAGCGAAAGTATGTTTTGAAATCCGAAATCTGTTTATCAATTTCACGCTGCTCGGCGGGGGGAAAGTCGCGGCGGGCGCGTAATGAATTGGAAGTTGATTTGTCAGCACTATCCTTATCTTCAGCGCAGATGTTTTTATTTTATTTGGCTTATAATTCCTTACCAAATGTAGTATTTCATCTCGATATGCTCCGTCTTTGATATGATTTAAAACAAGTTCCTCGTCATTATAATTCGCTTCCGATAGCGAAGAAAAGTGTCAGACGTTATTGAAAACGAAAAAATTTCGATTGACAAATTAGTCGGTGTTCTTGACACAGCAATTATAGGACTTGAACAGCGGAACTTTGTAACTGAACAAGAAATTATGTCTGTTTAATAGAATTAAAGAGAAAGTATTATCACATGAAACGAAGCAAAACTTACACAACTTACATTGAAAGAAATGTTTAATAAAGTAAACAAATAAATATTAAGCTTTTTCTTTTTGCAAATTTTAATACCCTTTAGATCATAATTGTTCTTTATTTCATAAATTACGGTTTCATATTTTTAATTTTAGAATTTCTGCATGCCATCTTACGAGATTTAAAACTGATGATCTATAATCCGGAATCGCCGAAGTCCCGACGAGTCCGGATTAACGACTTTTGACTGTATTATAGAACTATAAAATCATAATTCTACTTGTAAAATTGTATGTGATGTAAATGCATTAAAAAGATACACGAAGGAAAGCAGACAAATATATATTAATTTTTATATATTGTAGAGTCCACTTGATTAACTCCTGTGTGAGAACTGTAAGAATAGTAACTGCACAAAAGAAGGGTTAAAGTACCCGTTATTAACTCTAAAATTTACAGTGCATCAACTCGACGCTAACAAACTACGCCTGTGCTCGGGCGTAACTGAAACAAAGAACTAACTAAAGATTTGAGGGTATGTACAAGTTGTCTAACTAAACTACAGGGCTCAGAATAATTCTTGTTTCTTAAACCCCCGTCGAAAACTAGTGGCAGCAAGTAAATGCAATTAAGCCACGCGAACCAGTAATAACTCTGGAAGCAGACCCTTAATCAACAGAGGTGACGGCAATAGCCTAACTCTTTCTCCATCTTTCCTACTGAACCTCCATTTTCAAACTCTTTCCTTCAGGTAGAATTTGCATTCCTTCACGCGCGCTGCCAAATTTAAATATTCTGGCATTGACAATTAAGGGAATGAAGGCGTATAGGAAAGAATAACAAATTAAATAAAATTAGTTATTTAAAATAAGTATAAATCCGTACAACATATTAATCTAAAAACTATGTCACATACAGAATGTATAAGCAATCCTTACTCTTTTGCTGTACATGTAGGATTTAAAATCCTCCAAAATAGCTTTTGAAAATTTAAGAAACAACGTACAGAAAGAATCAAACGGGTTAGGTCCCTTAGGCAATATGAGCCTGAAACTTTAAACAAAAACATACTTTCAAAACACAGTTTCTTTTCCAATACTTTGAAAATGTGGAATATAATCCCTTCGAATATTTTCTTCTTGGGTGTTTCGAAAACCTACTGTCTGCTCAATTTCTACAGCTCACCTTTCGTAACATAATACACATTTCTTTTGCTGTAAAATTTACAACAAATCCTTTAGCGTTAAAAAACTGAAAAACATTTTCGCAAAACCCATACAAACGGAGAATTCTCGAGTGACTAAATTTTAAAATTCAGTACATTCTTTCTTTTATGTACTTATCTTCGTAATCTAAACTAGTGATCGCCAACTTCAATAAGCTTGTGAATTGCTTTAAAATTATTTCATTTTGTATTTATATACTTAACACTTTCTTTTCGTAATTTTGCATATTATTATCAATATATAAATGGGATTGCTTCATAACAACGCCTTGTCTTTGAAATGCTGACACTTTTATGCCCGTCGGCCCTTGTTCGAAACGACAGAAATCTTCATAAAGGCTCTTCAGCATAAAAGTGCTCGAATGTCATTTTTCTAACTTGTAAAACGCAAGCTTTATTAAAGTGCCAGCATCTTTATGCTATAAATTTACGATATTAATTTAAGTATCTGTTAATCAGAGTAGCGAATTGCAATCAATACTTATACTATAGAGGTGCGCCAGCAGAAATGTTTCATATATTTATGAAGGTTGCTTTTCGCAGGTTAGAATCTGATCTTTTTAAAGGTGTGGCTACATTTATGCCGAAGCATCCTTCCGTCTGTTCGAATAGTGACAGACTTGCATGAAGTAGCTGGCACTCTTATGACTGTACACCGTTATGGAAGTTTCTCAACGTTAGTTAGGATTGCTACGTGCAGAAATGCGTAATGTATAAAAAAGTAGAATACACCCTTTTACAGTTAAATATAAAGTACTTTCTGAAATTATTTATTAATAATTAGTCTAATAACGAATAGAGTGTAAATGATTTATTAAGAATATAGATTTATAAATATTAACGAATTTGTGCCGGTCAAGAAACAACGAGAGGAAAAAACATCATTTACTTTTCTTCAATTTTTGTGTTCAATTTTCGGTGCGCATTGTCCCACTTCTTTACGAATGCAGTCTTTAAAATGTTCATATTTAAGGCTATTTCTGTATGTTTTTTGAATCAATGTTATGTATTAAAACAAACGAAGACCGTGATAATAAAATATTTTTTTAACTAGAAGTGCTATTCGAATCAAAATTAGATTCTTTCCTGTTGAAACAAAATGTCTGATTAAGCTGAAACATCACTTTTTACGTTACATAGCTGACAATTTGAATTAGTTTCACAACCATGCAACAAATTTATATGTTTTTTAATGTATATTATCTAAAGAATTTTTAGCTCAAAGTACGAAAATTTCTCTACAACTTATTTTACACTACAATCGAGATTTGGTAACCACTTACCTAGATTAAATTTTCAGTTAAATGTTTTCTAATATATAGCGACTCTACAATCAAAATGTTTCTTATACTTTTATTTATATGAACGTCTGACTGTTTTGACTTTGTAAAAATCATGGCATCTTTATTCTATTTCGTCTCCATTGTATGATTTTTTTATATTACAACAAGCAGAAACAATAAAAGGAGAATCATGGGTTTCGAAAGCTGTGGCCACCCTGACATTTGATCATTTACCGAAAGGTCGATTATTGAAGAAAAATCTTCCTAAAGTTACTCTTCTTTGTTATTAGAATTAAAGGAAAAAAGCATATGTAGATTTAAGCTTCTTACAAGAAGACTTTTAATGACGTTATTTATATATATATGAGCACTTGTTATTTGATAATTAGTAATTTTTCTACATTTCCATGGATTAATTACTATTTTGAATGCAATAATTATGAAAAAATAACAGTAACTTTATTGAATCTTCATTTCATTTAGCTTTTTTTCTTATAGCAGGAAGAAGATCAACTAGAAGACGGTCTTCTAGAGGCAAGAAAAATAGGAAAGGTAAAAAACATTCATCTCCTTCGTTTAAACAGTGTTCTTTCGCAGTGCTTAAAATTTTTCTTCCCAGCAATGTCTGTATTTTCTTATTACATCGTCACATTTATGATATATTGAAATTAAACATTATCAAGTTAAATTCAGATCTTAGGTTGTACAAAAAGTCTTGCAGTATGTCTGCGCATGCCAGCGGGCTCATCCCAAAGTCGTAGATAACGCACATATATTTCTCTCAACCGCTCTATAGTATAAAAAGGGTACCTACATTTTTCGCTTTGGTTGTCTGCTTGCTGTGTTAGCCTCACTAATTTCTTAAGACAAGCGCTGCAAATGGGCGATTTGAACAATTACGTACGAACTTTTTATCTATTAATTAATTTATTTTTAAGAGAAGAAACGAGCATTGCTGCCATCGGAAAGGAAATTTGCTACGTCTACGGGGATAATGCTGCTACAAGATGGACAGTGAACCGTTGTTTCAGAGGTTTGTAGTAGAAGGCTTTAACCTTGATCTCATTAATCAGAACCCCGAAACACTATTCCAGAGGTTGCAGAGACCCTTTAGCTTCGCCAAATCGATGGTGGTAAATGAAGCAAATGTGTTACAAGTGCATGCATGAAAGTCGGATACCCGATTATCTCGAGCGCAAGAATCTTGACAGGACCTCCGTGTATCTGCTGAGTAGTGTATCTGACTCATCATCTGCTGAGTAGCCAGAAAGGGACTCGCTTGTCGCAGAATCTTTGCGAGTAATGAATCTCATACTCTTCGAATCTCGCATCGTTGGACTACTACTTGTTTTAATTCTTGAAAAACTCTCCTCGTGACAATAAATTCAGTTCTCTTGAGGAGGTGATAATCAACCTTAAAGATTTCTTTGACAGCACACCGCCATCCTATTTTCACCAAGATATAACGAAACTCCCAGAACACTGGAGAAAAATAGAAGAACAGGGTGGAAAACTGTATTTTGCTATTATGTAAACTATGTAGTATAAGTAAGACAGGTTGTAAAAAGTTGGTGAAATTTATTTTTGTTGTTATCCTAATGCACAACGTTTCAGACAATATTTTCAACGGGTGTAGAATGTAAACAGCGTGTGCGTATTATAAATAATATTTTTTCGCTTTTATTAATTATTTATTTTTATACATATAAGTCTTTTTTTTTTCATTGCTGAACAGAATCTTCAGTCACGTTTCATTTAAACAATCATTTTCTTAAAAGTGGAAGAGATTGTATTCTCAAAACTTCGGACTTCGATGGCTCAGTTATTAAGGGTAGCCAGACTTATCAGAATAGGTAGCCGTGGGCTCAAAAGTTAAGCTTGCAAAATTTCAGAAACGTTATTTAAAATGGATTCATTTTTTAGGATGGTTAAAAACTGCTTCAAATAAATATGACCACATCCCGCAGAATTTTAGTGCAAAATTTGTAGTACCTTTTTCTTGAGTTGATGACTGCATAGCCCGTTGAACTGAGTAACGAGAAAGAAAAATCAAATAAAACGAGCAAGCGTACCACATATGGGTAAAAGATGTTATATCTATGTATCTAACATTTCTTTACATTTATACATAAAAAAAAGTTTAGCCAAACCTTAATAAGTGGTATAACACATCAAATGGGTCATAAATTTTTATAGAATGTATGGTCAAAAAATGGAACGTAAATATGTTACAGTGCTCTTTTATTCACCAGTCGCAGCAGTTCCGTGAGCACAAAAGCACAATTCTTTGCATAAACCGCCATTCGCACTTTGAGCTTTTGAGACGATGGAACATGGAATACGAATGGCGATAAAGACAATTTACATATTATGTCTGAAACTGCCGTAGGGAAATGGAAAGTGCAATACCTATACAGAGCGTGCTTTCTCAATAAGCGGGTGCCGAATCATGAAACATTTCTGGCTTTCACTGCCATTTGTGATATTAGAGACCATTTCCCACTACCATATGTAATGCAGCTCTTTCAAGAAGTGTTAAGAATACTATGTAAAAGAACATTCTAGATGCAGTTGCGCGCATAACCATAACAAGACAAGTCCTCATCACTGCGGATTATCATCTTTGTAGGACTTCACACGCTTTCCTGCAGCTGTGTTTTCGGCAAAGGCTCTTTTCACAAGAGTCACAAAGTCACCTTCACTTGGGATAATGTAGGAGCTTAACACAATTTATATATATAAGTGAGAGTGCACCCGGAGGTAACACGTCAGTGGCGATTCTCTGTAAATGTTCAGATTTCAATCTTCCTTGACTGTCTGACTGTGCCGAATCTTATGTCAAATCGGTTTCGTCGGGTGGAATGTCTATGTATTTTTATAAGAGGTATTGCCAGAATTACTGAAGAAGCAGAATTCCAGCAGCAGTCCGGTGGCATACGCGGTTTCAAAACAAAGGAACATCAGCGTATTTTCAACAAGATTCAAAGAACTATCTGGATGTCAAATTTCCAAGACCCTTGAATTGAGTGAGGTGGTCTTACCTTGAACCCTTTTCCTCTGATCAACTGATCTGCCGTGTCTCGATTTCTTTTTGTGGATTCAAGGACATCTCAAGAGTGCATGCAACAAAAGAAAAGTTTCATAAGCCATCTTACTAAGAAAACTAAACACTGATGTGATGTACTGAGAAAAGACAGCAAACGCTGTATTGGAAATTATAAACATGTACCGCTATCCAACTTTTAAATATTTTTATTCTGCCTTTGAATTGTACGTGACATAAGTACGAAAAAAGCGATGCTTAATAATAAAGCTGAAAAGACAAAAAAAAAAAAAAATGTTGTATTAGCAGGAGTGAGTCCAAGAGCAAATTGGGAACCTTGCTCTTGGATTATTTCCTTGTAAATTGCTCAGCGAGAGCATAAAAACCTTAGCAGACCTTCTGGTATGACTTTACAATCTGAAAAACTTTTAATTTTCTTTACTTCTCTCTTAAATTCTGCGGTTATTTGATTTTCCAGTATGACCAGGCTACGTAAGCCAACTTGCAGTTTTATTTCTCTCAGATCCACGCCAACACTGTTGATAGTTTTCTAACTTTTAAACTTCACTTTCTTCTGATTTACATTGCATAAAGTTCAGCAGTAAAAAAATTTTTTTTTTTTTTTTTTTTTTTTTTTTTTTCAAAATATCCTTTGCCTTTAGAAATTACACTCCCTTTTTCTTTTAAAACGACCTCTCTGCGAGATCATCTGTCTTTCGGTTGCCACAGTCATATTCAAAAAGAATAAAATAATTGCTTTTTATACTAATTATATATATATGTATATATATAGTTAAAAAGCTAGGTAGCAAGTACTGTGCGGAAAGACCTATTTGGTCTTAAAAATTTTTTTGCGCAATATGCTGCAAAATTAAGGAAATGAGAAGAAAATAAATTGTAGTGAGCTCGCCAAAAAGTTACCAGGAGCTGTGGCTCCAAGAAATAGTTCAACACAGTATTTTTTAAAAAACAATGACATTGAAAGGCGAAAAATTAGGCTACACGCGAAATACAGTAGAATATAAAACACAGTAAAATATTAATCGTTGGAAACAGGTAAATGGCAAAAAATACAGTAAAAAACCTATCGATGTGATAAGTGAAAAGTTAACACATATAAAAAAACCGATCGATGGAACAAGTTAAAACAAATAAAAACATATGAAAAACATAAAATTATAAAAATTATAAAGCGGAAAATGGTAAATTAGCTCAATTCGACTTCCAACCTGGCTTTTCAAGGGAAATTTCTAGTTAAACGTCGAACCAAACTAACTCCATTACGCGTTTCGCCGAAACAGACAATTGAAACTTTTGTGTTACGAAAATTTTTTATAATTAGATGAATTGTCCTAAACATTTTTTTATAGTCTCAATTCTCTGTTCCAATTTCCCGACGCGTCCGCACAAAATGACACATTAAGGTGTAAAAAATGTAAAAGCAACTCCGATGTACAGCAATAATTAAAATAAAATAAATAGCGGTCTGCTATTAGTCAAACTATACAATAACGTACGGGCTGGACCTGCAAGCTTAAAGAATTAAACCTTTATAAATTTTATAGATCTGAAATTAAATTTAAATGAAAACAAACACAGTGGGTCTTGCTAAGACCAAGAATTTTTTTAGAAACATAAAAAAACAGACATGTGGCTATGCAGTCCTCTTGATTGTGAAGCAAAGTGGAGAAGGGGTTGTAATACCCCTCTGTGTCCTTCAACGCCATCCCACTCGTCGTGTGATGTAAGGCGGGGGAAACAATGTCACTGGGCAATAGCCAATGCGATTAGATTGTCCGTTAGCGGGAACTCGTGCCCCCAGACCTAAAAAGAGGTTGAAAGACTCGAAAAGACGTGGAAAGAATTCAAAATGGCGTCAGTCAAGTTATTTGAAGAATAAAACTGTTTCTAAATAGGAAAATGGCTAATTCAGCTAAAATTACTCAACATGCCCACAAAAGTAAGAGTAAAAAGGAAAAAACTGTCATTTGTTAATAAAAGTCGTAATTCTTCAAGCTAGAGGGAGATCAAGCTACAATGAAAAATGAAAAGGCCCGATTTGTTAATAAAAGTAAAATTGGCCATCAAAGTAATTTAAAACTATTTAAACAATAGTATTAAAAGTATTGTGCCAAAAGTTTTTGGAGGAAAGAAAACGTAGTGACAAGAATTATCTGTACATTTTTACATTAGATTCTCTGAATCAGCCATCCACTTTATACCGTCCCATTGGTCTTTAAGTATAAAACTTCACTGTCTAACTCAAAAAATCTAAAAATTGGTAAGACTAATGCGATCTTTTTTTAAAGTATTTTTAATTATTTTTTGAGGAATTAGGTTATTTTTTGAAAATTGTCACGAAGTATAGTATTTCTTCTTGAAGGTGTTTTGTGGTATTGCATATTCTTTTATTCTAAGTAGCTGTGAATAAATTGTGTTTATGATGACTCTTTTGGAAATATTTGAATTCCAGTTGGTTAATTTTAGTGTAGAAAAATTGAATTCTCTT